GCTGCTGCTGCTGCTGCTGCTGCTGCTGCTGCTGCTGCTGCTGCTGCTGCTGCTGCTGCTGCTGCTGCTGGTGAGAAGGGCCTCTAAGTACGATATTTTCAAGTTTGATATCATTATGTACGATTCCTTGTTGATGAAGACAAAGAATAGCTTGAATGAGTTGTTTAAAGACATGCTTAGCAGCAATAATGCTGAGCTTGCCTTTGAGCTGCATATACACCTCAAGATCCGGACCCTGTAGGTACTCCATTAAGATCCAAATGCCTCTCCAGTCTTCATAAATATCTAAATGTCGGGCGATTGTAGGGTGTTGTATTAAACATGCTTCTCTTAATGCATCTATAGATGCCTCGCCTACTATCTGCTTCACACATAGAGGCCCACTGTATACTTCTGCTGCTGCTGTTGCTGCTGATGCTGCTGATGCTGCTGTTGCTGCTGATGCTGCTGATGCTGCTGATGTTGCTGCTGATGTTGAGGATGTTGCTGCTGATGCTGCAGCAGCAGCACATGATGCGGCTGCAACGGACGCTGATCCTGCGAAGGCGGATACGGGTCCTGCTGTTGCTGCCGCTGTTGCTGCTGTTGCTGTTGCTGCTGCTGCTGATGCTGCAGCAAGAGGAGGGAAAGGAGCACCAGCAGCACCTACAGCAGCAGCAGCAGCAGCAGCAGATGATGATGATGATGATGATGCATGAATATTATTTGTATTTATTAACGACTGGCATTTGTATACAAAACTCTGAGACCCCGCACCAATTAGATCTCCCAGGGTGTACAGACGGCAGAACCCCTCTGCAGCAGCAGCAGCAGCAGCAGCAGCAGGAGTTTGCATGCAGCAAAGCCGCTCCGTAGGCACCTGCATGCCTCCCCCTACTGCAGCAGCAGCAGCAGCGACAGCAGTTGCAGCTGCAGCAGCAGAAGCATCTGCTGCTGCTGCTGCTGAACTACCACAACCACCAGCAGCTGCTGCGGTCTTTGCTGCCTTTGCTGCCTTTGCTGCTGCTGCTGCTGCTGCTGGGACCTGCGATGCTTCTTCGAGTTCATCTGCTGTTGAGACTTCAGACGAATGAGAAGGCGAAGAGAGACAAAAAGATATATTCAATTTTGAGTGTATATACACCCCATCATATCCCTGCTGCTGCGCTGCCTTGACGCTGCGAAGAGGGTTTCTTCTCTTAGGAATCGGTAGTGTTAGGCGGCGGCTGCTGCTGCTGCTGCTGCTGCTGCTGCGCCGCCCGCCACATATGCTGCCGCTGCCGCTCTTGCTGCTGCTGCTGCTGCTGCTGCTGCTGCAATTACTGGTGCTGCTACTGCTGCTGCAGCTACTGCTGCTGCTGCTGCAACTACTGGTGCTGCTACTGCTGCTGCTGCTGCTGCAACTACTGGTGCTGCTACTGCTGCTGCTGCAACTACTGGTGCTGCTACTTCTGCTGCAGCTACTGCTGCTGCTGAATCTTCTGCTGCTGCTGCAACTGCTGCTGCTGCCGCCGCTGTGGCTGTTGCTGCTGCTGCTGCTGTTGTTGTTGTTGCTGCTGCTGCTGCTGCTGCAGGACCCAGATGGTGTAGGTTTTATACCCCAATAGGCCTTCGGAGCAGCGCAGCAGGGAGCGTAAATAATATTAATTTAATCTTTATTTATTTATTTATTTATTTATTTATTTATTTGTTCTGCTGCTATTCCCGAATTACAAATTCAGAAAATAGGCGGAGCAATCACACAAACGTCCGGGGGCTGCGGAAGAAAGAACAGCAGATGCTGCTGCTGCAAATGCTGCTGCTGCTGCAAATGCTGCTGCTGCTGCTGCAGCAGCAAGGGGTGCTACAGGGAGAGAATTGCTGTTGCTGCTGTTGCTGCTGTCTGCAGTGCCTTTGCTGCTGCAGCAGGAGCTTCAGCTGCGAGTTGTTTTGTTGTTTGCTGCTGCGTTTGAAGGAGAAGAAGTGCAGGAAGGCGTAGAGGAAGACAGCCTGCTGCTGCTGCAAATGCTGCCGCTGCTACGGCTGCTGCTGCTGCTGCTGCTGCTGCTTCTTCTGCCCCTGCAGATTGGCCGCCCGGGAGAGCAGCTTGAAAGCTGCTGCTGCTGCTGCAGCAGCAGCAGCAGCAGAAGAGCGAGGATCCGCTCAGCACGTGCAGGTGACCCCCGTTTGCTGCTGCTCTTGTTGCTGCTGCTGCTGCTGCTGCTGCTGCTGCAGCAGGGTGCTGAAATTGCTCTAAAGGGAGACAAATATAGAGTTTGCAGCAGAAGAAGTAAATAAATAAATAAATAGATGAGAAATAAATAAATAATGAAGAAAATAATAAAGATTTAATAGGGCTCCTCTACGCAGCAAACAAACCCCCTTCAAGAAGTATAAACATATATTATATATATAAATAAATATTTATTTATATATATTAATATATTTATTTATATTTATATATTTATATATTTTATATACTGCACTGGTAAGAAGAAGAAGTGCAGGTGCTTATACTTCTTTTAAAAGCAGCAAATAAGAAAATATGCAAAATAAAAGCAAAAATAAACAGAAATAAATTGCTAAAGAGAAAGGAAGAGACCGAAGCACGCACGAAGTGGAGCTGCTGCTGCTGCTGCTGCTGCTGCTGCTGCTGCTGCTGCTGCTGTTGCACGGCGTTGCTGCTGCTGAGTCTGCAGCAGCAGCAAACGCAAGTGTGTGATAACAAGAGAAATGCTGTTTATTTTTCTTTTCAAGGTTTTATTAGAAATTAAAGAAATATAATTAAAGAGCAGCTTCTTCTATTGTCTATCATAATAAAATAATATTATTAAAGAGACCCAGGCACTGCTGCTGCTGCTGCCCTGCTGCTCCCAGACAGCAGCAAATGGTGGTGCGTGCATTGCTGCTGCTGCTGCTGCATCAGCAGCAAAATTCAATAAATCTAGCAGCTAAGTCTCTCCGTCAAGGTAATGAAAGTAAATATTCTTGCGGCGCCTCCTTAGAGCAGCTACACACAATAAAAAACAACAGCAACACACAAACACACATAAAAACAACAACAGCAGCTACAGCAGCTGCAGCAGCTGCAGCAGCAGCAGCTGCTGCTGCTGCTGCAGCTGCTGTCGGCAGGCAGGCAGCCGCCGCCGCGCGCTGCTGCTGCTGCTGCTGCTGCTGCTGTTGCTGCTGCCGCCACCCCCCGTGCACACGGCTGCTGCAAATACCCATGAAATAGCCTTTAAATTTAGTTTTTTAAATATATTTAAATTAATTATAATTATAAATATCAATATAATTATAATTATAGTTATAGTGTATATGATTTCAAAGTGGTCTTGCCCCTCCCGCTCTTAAAGAATGCACGGTCCCCCGGTGCACGAAGAAATGCAGCAAATAACAGCTATGAAATTCAAACAAATACGAAAGTAAATACTAAATAATTATTTTATTTAATATTTAAAATATTAAATAGAGACAATTCGTGCAAAAACCCCTAAATATTGAGTAGAAAAACAAATTTTCTATAGAGACGTGCAGACAGGCTGCAGCATTTAAGCGGCAAACTAAAGCGTATATCAGTGCTGCTTCATGAAGCCTCAGCAACTCTTTACTAATTGTTTATAGGGCTGCTGCTCTATCAAGACAGCTAATAAGGGTATACTGGGGGCTTCGTATGCCTCGTTTAATTGTCTCTGTGGTGCTGCTGCTCTATGGAGACAGCTAATAAGGGCTTCACAAAGCCTCAGCAACCTCTTATTAGTTGTTTATAGGGCTTCTGGTGTATGGAGACAGCTAATAAGGGCATACTGAGGGCTTCGTATGCCTCTTTTAATTGTCTGTGTAGGGCTAAGGGGCTACAGCCCCATAGAGACAATTAATAAGGACAGACTGAGGGCTCAGTATGCCTTTTTAGTCTGTCTTTACTGCTGCTGTATGCAGCAAGGAGTGTGCTTGCAACAGGGGAGACATTAGGCGCACCACGAGGTTCTCGTAGTTGTGTCGTAACCCCTTTCAGAGCGTCTTCGCTCCTAACCATTTTATCTGTTTGTAGTTTTTCGAGAATGTCTGTTCCGTATAGACAGTTAAAAGACGCATACGAAGCCCAAAGAGAGGAGATTATCTACTGCTTCTAATGAACACCTACTCCAGCTCTTTTGACTTGGTTATTTCAGGGGAGACACCAGCTGCAGAACGAAGTACTTGCGCTGCAACTCAATTTAGGGAGAGCGGCAGGTCGTGCTTATTCTAAGGGGTCGCCTTGGCGGTCTCCTAAGATAAGAAATAAGTCTACTAGGCCCCTCGTAACACTTAGAAGCACCGCTTGCTCTATTTATCAGCGAGCCCCACGCATATAGAGGGGGGCATACTGGTGCATAGCTGTAACTAGTATCAAGGGTAACTATGTTTTGTAGTTTTTTTCTCTAAAAAAATACAAAAAATAAAAATAAAAACTCTTTTTATCCTATCCACAGCCACTGCTCGTTATGCATAATGGAGAGTGTTCAGGGCCTTCCTTCAAGAGGGGAGGAGACTAATAGTTGATAGCTTCATCATACTTATGCCGGCTCTGCACCTGACCCCAACAGAAGGTGCTTTAAAAGGAACGCAATTCATGAAGAATGTCTCCCTCATTGCATATTTTGTTCAGATATGATGCACTGCGCGATGCAGCAAACAAGAAAAGAAGTTCCTCCGCTGTCATCATTTTTATTTTCCTCTCCAAATTACACCAAAGGAATAACACTTACTACTGGCATCTTCGTTATTAGAATAAGAGACATCACAGTGATGGCTATATATATATATATATATATATATATATATATATATATATGGGGCCTTCCGGTGTGCGTTACCCAGTATGTTCATTCGCACATCACCAAGGGAATAGGGTATTGCTGAACAACGTTAATCCTGCTGCTGCCCTGCTGCTGCCCTGCTGCTGCCCTGCTGCTGCGCCTGCTTCAGCAGCAGGTAACGATTTCTTCTCAACTCATGCTTTGCCTAGAAAGCGGGAGCAGCACCATACCGAACCGGTCTCTGGGCTGTACGTACCGGCAGTGCTAGTATGCAAAGCGAGTGAAACCCCCGTGCTGATTTGTTACTCTAACTATTTGGGGAGAAAGAAGATGCCTCAATGCCTGCAGCTCTCCAGCACTACGCACAGTGACCGGAGGCAAACAGAATTCTACGAGAAGCAGAGGCTCTATGCGTTTTGTTTGCGGCGATCTTCCTTTTTCTAGGCAACGGGTCTGTATGTGGAGACCTCTTTATGCACCGAAACAGTTGCATACTAATATGAGCTAGGCAACCTTGTCGCTTACCTCTAGCACATTAACATCCCTCAGCTGGACACCCGAGGAGCTCGGCGAGTGCTACAGAGACACAAGGGCCCGTACAGTGCATGAAGACAGCAGACAGCACTTTGTTTGCTGATTGAGTTTGTCTTTTAGAAAAAGACGGGGATTGGGTGATATTCTTTTCGAGGGTTTTCGTTCACGTGCAGCATCAGACTGAGTTCATAAACTGTCGGGCCCAGCTGGCGAACAAACTCCGCACCAAAGCGCGTTCGCGCATAAGACTTTTATGAAGGCAGAAATACCTGGAGGAGGTATTTATATGGTTGCGGAGTTTGGTTTTGACTTCTGCTCTGTGTACTGCGTTGCAGACAGCGGGGCATTTGTCTTACAACAGCAATAACATGTAATTCAGAAGGTGCTGTCGTTGTACGCCATAGTTGCTATCTCTCTGTTGCTGTTCTTCTCTTAAAAACATTTTCGAAGTATCGAGAAGAGGCAAAGAGGGCAGGATGCTAGAGACGGGAGGAGCACAGAGGCACCAAATCACCAAATGCTGCATGAAAAAATTGAAAGTATTTCAAGACACCCAACGTGCTATTCGCTGTATTTCTCGTAGACTAAGTGCAGCATTTAGAAGGGCTCATTTAAGAGGACATTAGAAAGGCGTTGAAGATTCTCCCCTGAACATACCGCAAATCTATCCACCACTTACTCCGAAAACATACGCAGTCAATCCGTCACAGGTATGGATATGGTGTATGCGCTCAATAGACAGGGCAGCACTCTGCGCTCTTTGGGTGGCCCGAGTTAACCTATAAAGCAGAGACGAAGAAGAAAAGAAACTCCAATAGGCAGCACAGCGCGTGAATGGAGCCAGGTCAGTAAGCAGCAGCTCTTCTTGGTTCGCAATCCCAAGTAGGTGGAGACAAAAGAAGAGTTAACTCTTCTTTCTGCAAGTCCTTCTCCAATGGTTAAGAACACTTGGCGGTGTGATGCTTCTGTATCGACGGGCAACTCGAGCTCAAATTTCTTTTGGATGAAATAAAACGCTCTCCCTTTTACCTCTTTGAAGCCTGCCTGCAGAAGAAAATAAAAACGAAGAAAGAAAACACCCGGTTACATTCAACTGCAAATGAGACCTACCTTCCGCTCAACATCTCCTGACAAAACTTACCGAAAAATGAAACCAAAAAGCCCCAAGTAAAAATTTCTTTAAGACTTCCTAGATGAAGGATAGCAGAAAGCCTTTTACTATAGTAGATGAGGGTCCTGAGTGGCGAGTACTAGGTGCAGCAGCTGAAGGAGTTTGACCGCTACAAGCTGCTACCCGGATGCACGAAGGGCTGGCTAGAGATCATTGAGACGACAGAGGAGGAGCAGTTTGCGGAGCAGCTGACGGGGCGTATGCCCATCCAGAAGTTCTTGAAAGAGGTGTTACTGGACAAAGTAAACGAAGCCGTTCTATTCATCACTATCACAGACTCCCTCTGCGTACACCTCAACACAAAGTTCAGTTATAAGGCCCTGGCGCTGCGACACCACAACATGCCGCGCCACATATGCGCTGAAGGCGACTTGCCAGAAAGGGAACGAATAAGGAAATCAATGCAGCAACATTTAGAGGCAATCAAGCAGCTGTGAGGGAGTGCTGTTTGGCGGAGGAGAGGAGTAGCAGCAACCTGCTGCTCTATCGATGTGGGTGTAAATGAAAACTTACGAGCCTCAGTAGACAGCCTGCAGCAGCAAGATACACCAGAACAACAAGAGTCTACAGTGTTTGCGCAGAAAGAAAAAGAGGCTTCGGTAGCATCTGCGCATGAAAATCTTTTGAAGTTTTAGTTGCAATTCTAAGGGTGTCTCCTTTCCCTTAGCAGCAGATCGTTTCGTCTCTGCACATAGAACAACTTACGCTTAAAGGAGAGATTATCTACAGCTTCTTAGGAACTTCTACTTCAAGAGCTTCGGCTCTACTGGGGCTCACGAGAGCTGCCTTATTATAAGGAGGGCTCCCGATACAAACATTGCACAGGTGTGGCTGCTCCTTCGTCTGCCACTGCGTAGAGCTAACTTCCCACCTAGCTGTAGCTAGCTAGCTTCAACGGTGTACATCTAGGTGCAGCTAGCTACAGCAGGCTGTAGCGGTTGTATTGCAGCTGCCTTAGCAGGGCCTAGGCGTCTGTGTATGTATGGAGGATGGGGGCCTCAACCCTTAATATTTTCTTGTCTTCTCCTCTGTCTTGTTGCCTTCTATTTAATTAATTATAATTAATTTATTTTAATTTTTTGTTTTTGTTTGCTCCCATCCTCCATACTGCTTGTGTACAGCGACTACGTGGGGTGTTGAACGCAGACGCAGAGAGGCGCTGCGAGGCCGTCAAGGACTCTCTTAAGAAGAATAGCAGAATAAAAAGGTTTTAAAATAAAACAAATAAAAAAGAAATCATAAAAATAATTCTTCTCCTCTAATTCTTCTTATCCAGCGCACCCGCAGCATCAGCCCCCCATACACCGTATGGCCCAAGCTGAAGATACACCGCGACCCCTCTTCTTCTTTGTGTATATTTGTAGCAATTCTTTGTTCAATTTTAAACTAATTAGCGCCTCAAAGCTGCATGTACACCCAAAGCTGCCTATACACCCCAAACTGCTGCAGCGAAGGAGGGCGGACAGCTACAGCTGCTCTGTCTCTCTCGCAGCTCGAAGCTGAGGGGGGCTCCCCTAAGGCTTCAAGCGTTTTGCCTCTATAGCGACTCATACTGTATAACTGTAACAGCAGCTGCAACGACAGCAGCAGCAGCAGCAGCTGCGGCGCATTAGCCACTGCACTCGGAGAAGCATCGACTTGTCGCAGCAGCAGCTGCAGCTGCTGCTGCTGCAGCTGCTGCAGCTCCTGCTGCTGGAGCCAGGGATAAGGCCTCCTGCGGGGCCTCTGCTCTCCTAGGGCGCATTTGCCAGCTTTCTGCTGCTGTGCATGCCCCGCTGAGGTGCAGGTATACTGCAGCAGCAGCAGCAGCAGCAGCAGCAGCTGCTGGTGTTCTGTACGCTGCAGCAGGATAATGATGCTTCGCCATCCTCTGGATGGCTATTTAGCTGCTTCCTCGCGGCACTCCTAGATTCAAGCTGCAACGCCAGCTGCTGTTGCTGCATTCAACTGCAGGAGCAGCAGCAGCAGAAGCAGCAGCAGCAGCAGCACTGTTTGTGCGTGTGAGCTGCTGTTATGAATGCCGCCACATTTTCCCGTCCGTCTGAATTAGTGGAGGATGGAGCCGAACGGCAACGAGCCTGCAGCAACAGCAGCAGCTGCAGCAGCAGCAGCAGCTGCTGCTGCTGCTCCAGCTGCGCCTACTGCTGCTGTCCCGGCTTCTGCTTTTCTGCTACAGCGACAGCCCGTCCTGTCAGCTGCAGCGCAGCAGGCAGCAGCAGCAGCTGCTGCTGCCGCCGCAGCAGCTGCCGCTGCTGCACCTCCTCCAGCGGGTCAAGAGTTTTGCGTGCAGCAAGGGCAGCAGCAGCTGCCTAGACAGCAGCAGCAAACTGATAATGAATCGCAGCAACAGCAGCAGCAGCACGATCTACTGCTCCACATGCATACGCGCTTGCAGCAGCAGCAACAACAGCAGCAACAGCAGCAACAGCAGGGGGGGATGCAGGAGCGCGACAGCACCCGTACAGACGAGCTGCTGCAGCAGCAACAGTTGAAGCAGCAGCTGCTGCAGCAGCAGTTAATTAAACAGCAGCAGCTGCTGCAGCTACGCCAGCAGCAGCTCCTGCAGCAGCAACTCCCGAATCAGCAACTCTTGCAGCAGCAGCTCCCGCAGCAGCAGTTGCTGCAGCAAGCACTGGAGCACCAACAGCAGCAGCAGCAGCTACTGCAGCAGTTGAAAGAGCAGCAGCAAACGAGGCAGCATCAAGCAAATGCCGACGCACACAGTCAGCAGCAGTTGCTGCTGCGTTTGCAGCGGCAGCTGCTGCTGCAGACGCAGCAGCAGCAGCAACAGCAGAAGCAGCAGCAGCAGGCGCAGCAGCAGCTGCTGCCGCCGCAACAACAGCAGCCAGAACACCGCAGTACGACCTTCCCCCTAACACTTGAGCAGCAGCAGCTCGCTCAGCAGATGCAGCTGCAGCAGCAGATGCAACTGCAGCAGCAGCTGCAGCAGCAGCTACAGCAGCAGCTGCAGCAGCAGCTGCAGAAACAGCTGCAGGAGCAACTTCAGCAACAGGGTGCGCAGCAGACGCTTGCAGCGTCACAGCAGAAGCAACAGCAGCAGCAGCCAGAGCAGCAGCAGTCGCAACTCCAGCAGCAGCATGAGCAGCTTCAGCAGCAGCCGATGCAGCAAGACGAACAACATTTGCAGCAGCAGCAGCACAAGGAGCAGCAGGAGGCGCCGCTGCAGCACGTGCTGCAGCAGCGGGTGCTGCAGCAGCGACAGGAGCAGCAAGAGCAGCCGCAACTGCTGCAGCAGGAGCAACAGAAGCAGCACCAGCAGGGAGAGCAGTCTTTGCAGCAGAAGCTACAGCAACAGTTGCTGCTGCAACAACAGCAGCAGCAGCTACTTACGCTGAGTTCAAGCCCACTTGTACAGGCGGGGCAGCAGCAGCAGCAGCAGCAAGAGCAACAGCCGTTGGAATGCCTTCAAACAGCCACCGCCCCAGCAGCAGGAGCAGCATCTTTGTCTGCAGCAGCAGCAGCAGTAGCAGCAGCTGCTGCTGCTGCTTCGGAGAGAGGAGCAGCAGCTTCGTCGTTGCCAGCCGCTTTGGTGCACACAAAAGAAGAAGTAACGGCCGCAGACTCTGCAGGCGCGCCTGCAGCAGCAGCTGCAGCGGCAGCAGCAACAGCAGCACCAGCAGCAGAAGCCACAACAATAGCAGCAACAGCAGCAGCAGCACCTGCTGGCACCCCCCCGTTATCTGTTCGCATGGAGGAGGACAGCGGCGAGACGGCGAGCGGGTTGTGCGGTGTCGGTGCAGCAGCAGCAGCAGCCAGCAGCAGCAGCAGCAGCAACAGCAGCAGCAGCAGCAGCAGCAGCAGTTTGCAGTGGGCTAAGTATGGTGAGAATCATGCAGCAGAGGCTGCAGTGCCTCTCTCTTATCTATGGCCGTCCGCAGACGGTATTTTGTGCGGCTATGCTGCAGATTTTCTTCTTTATAACAAAACAGCAGAGCGCCTTCTTCCCCCAGATGCACTCGTAAGCTATACTCTGCTGCTGCTGCTGCTGCTGCTGCTGCTGCTGCTGCTGTGTGTATGTGTGTGTGTGTGTGTGTGTGCGTGTGTGTGTGTGTGTGTGTGTGTGTGTGTGTGTGTGTGTG